TGGAATGGTTGGTGACAGGGTGGATGGGATGGTGACAGGGTGGATGGGTTGGTGACAAGGTGGATTGGTTGGTGACAAGATGGATGGGTTGGTGTCAAGGTGGATGGGTTGGTGTCAATCAATCAATCAATCTTTATTTCATACTGAAAGGCCACAGGCCTGTAGTACATTGTTTAATCATGTGCGGGTAGTAGAACATTCTTTCGGAGAATAAAAGCTTTATGGATATATATGGACAATCTTTCTATATGTGTTTTACTGGAATTATTCATCAGTGATATAAACTTATGCATTTCAGGATGTACATAATAATATTTCTTTATATATCTATTTCTTAACGCTAAGTATGCTGGGCAAACACATAAAAAGTGAAACTCATCTTCGACCTCGTGTAAGTTGCACATTTGGCAGATTCTCCTTTCTTTCTCAATACCTTGGTATCTCCCAGTTTCAAGGTGGATGGGTTGGTGACAGGGTGGATGGGTTGGTGACAAAGTGGATGGGTTGGTGTCAAGGTGGATTGGTTGGTGACAAGGTGGATTGGTTGGTGACAAGATGGACGGGTTAGTGACAAGGTGGATTTGTTGGTGACAAGGTGGATGGGTTGGTGACAGGGTGGATGGGTTGGTGACAGGGTGGATGGGTTGGTGTCAAGATGGATTGGTTGGTGACAAGATGGATGGGTTAGTGACAAGGTGGAATGGTTGGTGTCAAGGTGGATGGGTTGGTGACAAGATGGATGGGTTAGTGACAAGGTGGATGGGTTGGTGACAAGATGAAATGGTTGGTGACAAGGTGGAATGGTTGGTGTCAAGGTGGATTTGTTGGTGACAAGGTGGATTGGTTGGTGACAAGATGAAATGGTTGGTGACAAGGTGGAATGGTTGGTGTCAAGGTGGATTTGTTGGTGACAAGGTGGACTGGTTGGTGACAAGATGAAATGGTTGGTGACAAGGTGGATGGGTTGGTGTCAAGATAGATTGGTTGTTATGGGCTCTGCTATCTGGTTGATTATGTCATCATCTCCCTACAAAATTAGATGTTGCTCATCCTGACTTACATTCCCAACAGCTGCCATGATGTAGCTGGAATATTGGTGAAGGTGGTGTTACAGAACTTATTACGATACTGTTTATCATCACAGACATACACAACAGTTGATATGGTGTATGAAATACATCTGATGTTACCATGTAGTTATTTATTGATCATGGACTTTGTGATAGCATGTATTTTCAATAATGATAAAAATATTCAAAATGGTTTGTTTTAAATGTAATATTTTTGCATGAGTTAGGGAAGAATGAGCGAACGAGTGGGTTAAAGTGGATGAGTGGGTTTGAGTGGATGAGTGGAATCAAGTAGATGAGAGGGTTTGAGTGGATGAGTGGAGTAAAGTGGATGAGACGGTTTGAGTGGGTTTGAGTGGATGAGTGGGTTTGAGTGGATGAGTGGGTTTGAGTGGATGAGTGGAGTAAAGTGGATGAGTGGGTTTGAGTGGATGAGTGGGTTTGAGTGGATGAGTGGGTTTGAGTGGATGAGAGGGTTTGAGTGGATGAGTGGGTTTGAGTGGATGAATGGGTTAAAGTGGATGAGTGTGAGTGTGTTGTGTGGGGGGAAGGGAAGGTGAGTGAGTGAGTGAAAGTGTCATTTTAAGGGTTTCTTTGAACTGTGAAGTGAACCATCACCATGATTATGTGGAAATGACAAACCAGGAAACATGATCATGGACAAATATGGACTCAAACCATCACAGTAGCTTCTGGGTCTGGGCGACAGATCTGTACAGTTAATTCTTCAATGGTGGCATGGACCGACTGTGCCCTCTTGACGCCACCAGACAAATTCATTGTCATTATAATGATCAATACTCAACACAAATGATGTATTATCATACACAATCTCCCAGTCGCACATTGAATCCACTTGATGCCTATGTAAGTCATTTCTTATGACAAGCATGAGGCGCTGGGGACCGATTCCTCCCAAGAATACCCCACATTTTCGAACCTTTTACAAATGCAATGAGACTGTTCCAAAGCCCCATGTATAAACTCCGTCTGGATTTGATGTAGACAAAGATAAATCCAAGATAGTAAAATGGACTTCTGCTCTCCATTTATAGATCACAGACACATTTACTCTAATTTTAAGCATCAGTAGGGGTTTGTTGAACTGATTCCATCAGCCTTGGCTAAAACATCCTATCAGGTCAATGACTGAAGCAGGTCCCGACTCCTGCCCAAAAGGAGAAGCCATCTTGTTTTCACAAGCAGCCAGTAAACACAACACAAGAGATCTAAAGATAAAAACTAGAACAATAAAGAGAAGAAACTAGAACAATAAAGAAAAGAAACTAGAACAAATAAAGAGAAGAAACTAGAACAAATAAAGAGAAGAAACTAGAACAATAAAGAGAAGAAACTAGAACAAATAAAGAGAAGAAACTAGAACAATAAAAGAACATTTTTAGCTACAGGTAAAGGAAGGAGAGCATTGTGTTTATCATTGTGTTCAAGTTTACACTACATGCATAGATGTCCTTTATAGTGCTAGATTACTGAGATACCATGGTACAGTAGAACCGAATAACTGACTCCAGAGCAACCCTGTTTCATTGCTGAAAACCAAACACTAGAGTACAGCAAAACCGAACAACCGACTCCAGAGCAACCCTGTTTCATTGCTGAAAACCAAACATTACAGTACAGTAGAACTGGGTAACTGACTCCAAAACAACCCTGTTTCATAGCTGAAAACCAAACAATAGAGTACAGTAGAAACGAATAACCGACTCCAGAGCAACCCTGTTTCAGGGTTGCCAAATAGCAGCCACAGAAAATAATAAGTACTGACATTTAATGTTACGTAGCTGGGAACTGAACCCGACCTTCCACTGTTAGGGAAGACACTTTATCCACTACACCACAGAGGTGGTTGATACGGGTGGATACATCACTGGTAAACCAGGGTACTGTATTCTATATCGCAAGTGCCCTCAACCTGTTTGCTTCCGAAAATTTCACTTCTCAGGCTTATCACCAGCTTATCATTTCTCTCTAATGGTTTTAAATTTTTGTGATATGGAATTTGAGTTAATGAAAATGAATTTTTTTTTAATGAATTTGTCCAGGTTTTTTTATCATAACAGAAAAGGGATAATCTTGGATGAATCATGAACCATTCCAGGTTAGAGTATGATGGGGTTTCAGATACACTGTTGTGGAACGATGGTGTGGGATGAAGGATGATAGTGGAAATGCATCTAGGATTCAAACCGATAATCAACATCACTGAGGATGCAACTATACACAGTGCTTTGTCCCAGGATGCAGTCTGAATGTGAAGCATTCTTGAAATAGTCATGCAGGCCAACTTCAGAGGTATATATGTATATTACATGAATGCCAAATGAAATAATAAAGACACAAGGGATGGTAAGGTTGAACCTAAAATTTGAAATGGTGTCATTATGTTGTGAAACTAGTGAGTGGATGAGTGGGCGAGTGAGTGGGTGCAGGGAGGCATGGGTGGGTGGGTGGGTGGGTGAGTGGGTGAGTGTCTATCATCACAGACATATACTAGTTGATGGGTATATGAAATAGATTTCATTTCACAATGTAGCTATTGATCATGGACTTTGTGATAACCTATCTTTTGAAGAATGCAAAAACACTTTGAAAATGTTTTGTTTTAAAGTAATATTTTAAGAATGAGTGAGTGAGGGGCCCAAGGGCTACCAGCTTTAACTCATAGTAGAAAAATAAGAGTTGGGAGTCTCTTCTGGTCAGAGCTGAAACTAACCCAGGGGAAAATCAGAGGGGAAAAGTTTCCATACCAAATCTCCGTTCCCAGGACTGGTGAAATGAATGTTAATCATCTGTGTCCGTGTAGCCACCGACATGAAAGGCCTCATGACCACAGGTAGATGGATTACCTGTGTTTCCAACCTTTGATCTTTTCATCTTACCAGAAATGCTTCAGTTAGCTAATTATCCAACAATACAGCATGCACTAGATAAATTATTGGTGAATATATGGACCTTGTGAGGGTAATGGCAATTGAGGTCCAACTTGAGATAATGTGTCGTAAATCAGATCCCTAGGGACGTCGCTCATTCCTAATGCTGATGGATTTCATACTTTGCTGGGAAATAACGGTGCATTATATTGATTCATCTGCAGAAAAGGCCATTCTTTGCCCAATGTTTGCTCTGCATTTGTACAGGTTTTTCAGTACTATAATTAATACCCTCAATATTTCTACATAAACGTTGCGAATGACTCTTATGTAGAAGGGATTGGAGCCAAGCTTTATAAACACATCAACAGATTACATTACACATATCATACATATGAGGAAATGTCAAAATCAACAGAAGGAATTATTGATGACAAACAAACAAAAAGTAATCTCAATTTCATGAAAAATTGATCCGTATTATAAGAAAATCAACATGCTATTTCCCTGCGGCTCAAGCCATTCACAGAATTGCTCTCTGCACAATGTCCTCATCATATATCCGTGATCATGTCATCAAAATTGCACAGCAAGTCATTACGAAAATGTGCACAAAATCACACATTCCTTACACATGGCGTACACATATAATGGCCATCTGTTGATGCATGGTAGAAATGTCACATTGCTCAATAGTATTGTGTTAATTCTAGACTAGAGGCAAACCAAGTTCTATGGATAGTCAACTTCAAGCAAGTTATCATCACTTGCTTAATAATGGTGTTAGTACCTACACCGAAACGTCGCACTTATTGCAATAAAGTAGTTGACTCTCCATAGAACTTGGTTCTCCTTCATCTATACAACTTCTAAAATGACTCTCAAAGAAGAATTCTAGACTGGTTTAACATAATGGTTTTACAGTCTTGTGCAACAGTTCCTTATTTTGGTAATTCCTTTATCTAGAGCTGAATTATTTCAGCATCAAGTTCACTGTTTGTTATATGTGTTTGTTGGCAATGTTGTCTGTTTGTTCCAGTGTCTGCGGCTCGGCCTCTGCGCTACACAAACCCCCGGTTCTTGGACACTGCTGAAAACATCACAGTTGAGAGTGGTCAAGAAGCTATCTTGCCATGTGCTGTGGAAAATCTCGGACCAAAATCAGTGAGTTCCCAGTCTTAACAAATGCCATCTTTGCCTTCAGTTTAGTATAACTCTAACCTGTGAAGATCTGGGTTATATTCGATCTTCAGCAACCCATGCTTGTCGTCAGAGGCGACTAACATGATCGGGTGGTCAGACTCACTTGGTTGACACATGTCATCGATGCTCATGCTGTTGATCACTGGATTGTCGAGTCCAGCCTCAGTTATTTACAGATCGCCACCATTTAGCTGGAATATTGCTGAGTGTGACGTAAAACTAAACTCACTCACTCACTATAATTCTGCTTTTAGGGTACTTCTTCAACATGTCAATCAAGGGATGTCAGATTTGCATTACAGGAAAATCAGAGAGATGATGACCAAATATGTTTATTACCATTTTGGTGAGAGCACTAAGCATGTGTATGATACTGACTGTAATAAATCATTGTCCAAATTCAAACTCGTGAATATGAAATTGTTGTACACCTAAATGAGAGAGTGAGTTTAGCTTTACATTGCTTTTAGCAATATTCAGCAATATTATATCAGGGGACACCAGAAAAAGGCTTCACAATTTGTACCAATATGGGGAATCAAACCTAGGTCTTTGGTGTGACGAGCGAATGCTTTAAACACTAGGCTACATTACCCCTCCTTGTGCAGCAAAAGAAGAACTTAATTACAATTAATTATGGCGCCATTGTCCACAGTGAAGCCTCATCTCACGACTACAAACCCAGAAGTGGACAGAGAAGAGATGACCATTTTGAAAATAAATTATTGACCCCAATGGGTCAATGCTTTAGAAAAGATTTTGAGTATGTGATCCATCTGTGTGTTCATCCTGCTGCAGGTTATATTCAAAATATGAATATCCATGGTTTAAGACTTCACAAAATATGAATATCCATGGTTTAAGACTTCACAATTGTGAATACCTACTGCAGGCTATATTCAAAATATGAATATCCATGGTTTAAGACTTCACACTTGTGAATACCTACTGCAGGCTATATTCAAAATGTAACTCTGCCATGGTTAAGAGATCAAACTTGTGAACCCCAAAACCCATCCTTTTTAACTACTCCAATAAGCACCCATCAGCCTGTACAAGATGTTTGACCAATCCAACATCTATTCTGTTCTACAGATGTTAAGGACTGTTGGGTAGCCTAGTGGTTAAAGCGTTCAATCGTCACGCCAAAGAACAAGGTTCAATTCCCCACATGTGTAAAATGTGTAAAGCCCATTTCTGATATCCCAACTGTGATATTGCTGAAATATTGCTAAAAGCAGCTTACAACTATACTCACTCACTCTACAGATGTTAATTAGCCATCGTTAACCCGTTTTGGTTCTGCATGGCAGCAAAGATCCAGCATCTGGTATTGTGTCCTGTACTCACCTTGTGGTTGAGGATATACCTGGCTCATCCCTAAGGGTTTCTCTTCATCCAGCTATGTGTGATAGCCAAATGATTACTTATAGATGGCTTAAACGGCATCACGATGTTATAGTCCTACTAAATAGGGCTTAACACAATTCCTAGCAATGGTTTTGTTTCTGGTACAGAATAGAGTTGCTGGTGATCATTCGAAAATAACATTCAGTTTTGCATAAAGGCATGATTAGATAAACTTATGGACCAGTGTGGTATTTCATGTATAGTGTACTATAGTATAGCCCAGGGAGCCTGCTTTCAACTCATGAACAATTGCATGGTTAAAGGGAGAGAACTCTACTCACTGAAACAATGTTCATGAGACCACAGCCAGATATTCATTCAATTAAGTCCATTCCAAGAGATTACTGGTTTGTCATTTCATCTTCAATAACTGCATCTTGGCAAAATAAATGGGATAATGAAACTACAGGTAGACACATGTACTCTACGTGTCCTGTAGTAAACAAACATTTTAAAATTCGTCGGCGTTGTCGCTGAGATGAAGTTGTTTTAACTCGCCTCAGGCTGGGACATTGTGGATTAAAGGCATATAGAAGTATTTTAGATAAAGACCTATCTCCTCTGTGTGAAAGCTGTAACTTACACTGCCCAGAAACAGTTCAGCACTACCTCATTGAATGTCCAGCTCATGAAAACCCACGTAAGGCTCTTAAAGAAGCTGTGCTTAACAAAACCCAAAATACTTTTACAATGAATGCAATACTTGGCGATAATTTAATGTATGGTTGCATACAAAGAGCTGTTTTAGACTTCCTCATTAAAACGGGTAAGTACGACGTAATTTAACTGAACAAAAATATAACAGTTTGTAGAGTGTTGGGCGCATATAGGCCTTTTAAGGCCCAAAGTCACCCTAAAACCTTATCTACCTACCTACCTACAATGTTCATGGTGGAGTAACAAACATTCTACTAAGGTTAATTTGGTTTGTCTGTCTGCAGTACAGTTGGGTGAGATTTCATACAAATTTTAGCAATATTTCAGCAATATCTGTGCAGGGACACCAGATTTGAGCTTCACACATTGTACCCATGTGAGGAACTAATACACTCCATCTATATGACGAGGGAATGCTTCAACCACTAGGTTACCCCTTCCCTGCACTGTTCATAGTTTTTCTACACACAATATTTTCTACATGAATATTTAACATACATACAAAAGGATATACTTATGTTGGGTCAGTCCTATTCAAAGATTTCACAGATTTTACTGATCTGCAGGATCACTAGATATTGTAGTAAGTAAAATGGCTGCTTATTTTGGTATCATTATACCAGTGCAGATAGTTGTTAGATAGTCCTGAGTGTAGACCAACAACTAGTCTCTGAAATGAACATATTTACTGAAAAAAAAGTTCATAGTAAAAAATTATATATAATGAAAAGGAGCCCTGAGACTTTCTTCATTCCTGAAGCTGTGGAAATCTAGACTTGCCACATTTTCTAGACTTGCGTGGGCTTTCTTGGATATATTTGCTTCAGGGTCTGTATGAGAGATTATCCTGAATGATGCTTAGGGATGTTCTCTCTGAATGGTATTTCCATGTGCATTTTCAACTTCATTTTAAGTTTATGAATATTATATCCCTCCCAACACCCAGCCACCCGAGTGAGTGAGTGAGATTTGTGTTGGGGAGTTGGTTTTGTGTTGGTAAGTGGTTGAGTAGGTTTGATGAGTGGTTGAGTGAGTGTGGTTGTGAGTGGCTAAGTGAGTGAGCGAGCCATCTAGCGATTGACTGAGTGGATGAGTGAGTGAACCAGTGACCAATATGTCTGCAATATCACTTATAGTTGCATCAACATTCCAAACATATTCCTGTCAACATATAACCACCATCTTAGTAACCAACACTACTTTCCTTTCAGGTTATATGGAAGAAAGTGTCGCAGCCGCACCCAATCACAATTGGAGAATACCTATTTGCTCCGGACAGTCGATATTTCCTTAAAAGGAGATCAACACAGATCGCAAATCCTGAGTGGGACCTACATATCCGAGATGTTCAGCCAGTCCATGCTGGAGTTTACGAATGTCAAATTAGTGCCAAGGAAGATATTGTACGCCATGTAACATTGCACGTTATAGGTAAGGTATATTTTCTTTATCATAACATGGGTCTGTATATTTCAGCAGTAGAATCTCAAGTTTCTAATGAGCAATGTAAAAAGTGTTGTTATAAAATTACACTTTAATCTTTTAATTCATTCATTTGTAATTTTGTGCATTTAACCTTTAATGATTATTTTTTTTCTGCAGACACAGGAAAAAAAACAAAAGCCAGGTAAGAGATGTCCTCATGAATGTTTCTACTTTCACTTTCTTTTGATGTCAGAAAGACCATGTCATGTGTCATCAAGTCATATCAGACAAATGGTTTCAGTTTGCAGAATGACGTGTTTGTAATGGTCCTTCAATTGTAATTTTCCTCCGGGTGTTTTGTCCTCCAAGTGTAATGGCCCTGTGATTGTTTTGCCTTTCAGGGCACCGTTGTACAAAACGATCTTAGCGCTAAGGTGATCGTCACTCAAATACCATAACAGACTTTTGACAGTCTTAGCGCCAAGAATGTGTTGTACAATGGAACCCAGGTGTAATGGTCCTCCTTGTGTAGGTGTTCTTGAGTGGAAATGGTCACCCAGGTATAATGGTTCTCCAGGTATGAATGGTTCTTGAGATGTTATGGTGGTCCAGGTGTAAGGTCTTCAAGTTGAGGGTTGTTCATCAAGTGTACCCACAGTGAGGGTGGTTCATCAGGTGGTTCTGTAGGTAATGTAGGTAACTCTGGTGGTTCCCTTTGGTCACGATGGTTCTCAGATGAAGTGGTCATGGTTGTTCATTACAAAGTCTTATCTGGTGCTTCCTCAGGTGAGGGTGTGCTTTGGTTAAGGCTGTACCTGCAAGTGAGGTTGCCCTTGAGAGACTATGATTGTTGTAGTTCCCAGATGAAGTCTTCAAGATGTGGAGGATGACTTCATTAGGTGAGGTGGTTTTTCAGGTCAGGTTGTTCTTTGGGGATGGTTTTATCCTCAAATGAGGCTGTCTTCAGGGGGAGATAACTCAAGTGAACTTGTCCTTCTGCTGAGATGATGCTGTGGTTCTTCAGAAGAGGTGGAGTAGTCCTCAAAATGAAGCTGTTCTTCAGGTGGAACTGTCTCTAATGTGATACTGTACATACATAGCTGCTGTTGATTTATATTTTTGTGATTTTCACTTTTTACAGAAATAAATTAAATCCAATGATTTTTTTCTATAATAGATGACATGTCTAAAAAGTAAATATTTCATTGCTTTTCACATATAATGTTTAGAACAAAAACATTGTACACATTTAATTATAAATTTTCATGAAAGTGTGCCACCATAAAATCAGTAACTATTTAATCTAAAAGCAAATCTAAAAGCACTGTAAATGATGTTAATTTAAAATGATCTCCGACATTCATGCTTACATAATCATAAACCTATCTCATTACAGGAATCAGGCTGATGGGCACACCTTTTGTAGAAAAAGGGGATACAATTAAACTCAACTGCACCGCATCGGCAAAAGATTATTCTCCTCAAGGAGTGGACTGGTTTAAAGATGGGATAAAATTACGACAGACTGAGAGAATCTCAATAAACAGCATACCCACACGAATACACAAAACGGTACATAGCAAGTTGGAGATTATAAGAAGTAACATGACCGATGCTGGCACCTATGTCTGTCGGAGCTCACAGTATCACATTGCAAGCCTCAAAGTTATTGTTCTCAACGGTGCGTATTATGCTTGAACTTTTTTCAAATTACTATTTTTACATTTACCCACCTGGCTTTACTATGGAGTAAGGATGTGCAAAAGAATAATTCAAATGTGAGATTGGAAAACAATCTAGCATTATTAGAGGAATTATTTTGAAAAAATGATGTCTTTGATTTGTTAAAAAAATTATATTTTTCTAAGATATGTACATGTTCATTATAGGAACAATCCTAAATGATGAATCAGGTTAGTGAGTAACACAATGCCTTTTTTTCACTTTCTTTTCATCAATTGTCAAGCTCACTCACTGCTATGATCAGGATAAAATGTTTATAAATATAAATATTAGATATGAAACATCAAGTACAAGGGAAAACAACTCAAAAGCAAGAGTGTATATTCCTAGCTAGAATGACTTGTCTAAGTACTTGTGATGACTTTGAGTTAATGAGTTAAACCAGTGCAAACCAAAGCCTAACTTATTAAGTGTATTCGTCATATATAGCTAACCTGTCATTTTGCAAAATAATAACTGAAGTTATGTTATCTTTTTCCTTAATAAAAGAATGTGAGTCAAGGTGTTGTTTTAGGGTCCACAAATTTGATCCTCATAATTTTTAGAATATGTTTGTCCTATTTATTTCTTTTTGAAGTAATTTTCAATAGGAAAAGGGATATAATTTTTAAGTAAATAGTGTCGACCCTGTTAAAAAAATGACAGAAAAATGACATCTCAGCCTTAAAGGACGAAAACTCTCATATCTATGAAACAATATCTTTTCCATTTCCACAGGATTATGAAAATGTACACAATCAGATTCAAAATATAAATTCAATTCTGAAAAACAATAGAAAATTTTATTCTATGAAGAGTAAAATATTTCATCCTTTTTGTAATCAATTCTCAACAAAATATCATATATATAAATGAGCAAATTTTGTGACTTTATAAGAATATATATACTTTATATAAAGGCTGGACTATTCAGTGAAATGAACAAACTCAAAGTCAACAATCTTTGTAACAGGGAAACAAAAGTGGACCAAGACACGTCAAATATATTCCCAAAGTACTTGATGAAACAAGTTTTACTACTTTCACTGACAATCCATAGAACATCACAATATAAATGCATATTTCCTTATTGTTTTGTTTTTGCACACAAAACATTTTAAATTCTTATCACTACTGTCAGATTTTGTTACTTCTTAATCATATAATCACATCCAAAAATGAATTATTGCCAAACAAATGCACAATTAGCACACAATTATATTACAAAGCACATGCAAGCATTGATCAGCTTCAGGTTGTGTTGTGTTCAGGTCAATTACACAATCATCTAAGACACAAATGCTTTTGCTTGAGTCCAATAAACTGCTTGAGTATAGGCAATAACCTATATCACATTTTCAATCACAGTACAGCTGAGGACTGAAGAAATCAATAATATTGATTACATAATTATAGTGTAATAAAAGTGTGAATTATGCTTTAGGCTCAAAACCATATAAATTTTGATTCATAACACTATCACAATATTTCAGCATTTTTGTCTGTATGCAATGATGAATGATAATGCTTTATAGCATCTTTATTTCATTGTTATTTTAAAAATATGAATAAATTGTGCTTAATGTTTGTGTTTCATATCTGATATTTATTTTCTGTTTGTTGCATGTTGCAGCCAAGTCCTCGAATGTAAAACGTGGTAAGGATGTCTTCCCTCTCTATCTTGCTATTGCAGCATTTTCATGGTTCCAATGTTACCATTAACCCTTAATTAACCCCAAGACCAAGTTTATTCCATCTCATATTTTCTGATATCATTCTGAAAATAACATCATTTTGTATAAAATCATTAAATTCATTTTAATACTGCTGTTATTTTAAAAGTTTCTTCAAAACCTGGAGTCATCACTAATTCTCAAGATTTACCTTTATTTTGCCGGTAATGCCAATGAAATCTTTTTCGGTGGATGATAAAAATGGTTTTCTCTCATTGACAGTTTATATTGAAATGGCAATTTGTTCACATATACTTTTGTTAAACAAATATGAATGAATATTTTGATATGAAATGGAGCAAACTTGATCAATGGCAACTTAGACAGGACTAAAAGCATGTGTTGTGTGGTTTGATGCAATTCTGGAATGATTAAACTATCTGACCAATGCATTGAAAGTATGGAGCCAGATACTACTAGTTCCATCTGTACTGCTATTTACAATTGCATAGAGAAATACCTCTCTGAATTCATATTTGTAGAACACTGTACATATAGTGACATGATTTTCTTAAGTCATTTTCCTTCTCTCATGAAATCCATTACCAAACACATTATGGGTGAAGATGTAATTATGATTCTGTTGGCAAGGTTATATTTTCATGTTTTTAAGTTGGGGAAACATTTAAAAATGGATTTATTTCAAAGAACTGGCAATTTACATTTATTTTTCAAAAACTGCAAAATTTCTACTAACAACTACATCTAGTCCATAGTTTTGGTGTTAATGAACCAAAATGGCTGATATATCAAATGTCTTAGAGAACAACATGGCCAAGTCTGTGATAATTAAAAATGAAACAACATAAACTGTCTGCTGAACTTTTTCAGTGAGTTCCATGACAAGTGTTCAGTTTTTCTGCAGATTTGAACATGTCCATCTTAAATGGGTGAAAATAGGCTCCTGTCACACCATGACCTACATAAAATTTGATCAATTTTAAATTCATCAAAGTTTTATATCAAAGAATTATAAGTGCATTAACACTCAACAGATATAAGTATTTGTTAATAAACACAGGCCTACATATCTAATGAACATATAAAACGGAATTTATACAGACTTTTCCTGCATACAAAATACTGAGTTGACTGTCAGTGTTCAATAGTTGCATGCACTATGACTAGAAATGGAGTTGAGTATTAGGAGCACTGCAAGATCCAGGTTGACATGGTAACATTGATGTATGCACTACTTCTCTTATAGATGCATCTTGATTGGTTCACTCATGTTAATGACTTAAATGAGGCAAATCCAGAAGTTTGCAAGGAGGTTTGGGTTTAGTGTGTTACAAATTTTGGATTTGTAACTTCATTGGGGTTTGTAGAGGTTGTTGGAGTTTTGGGGTTTGTGGTTCAAATACATCATCACAATAAAAACAAAGATATTTGGATTTATGACATGGGGGATCATATGCAGGTTTATGTGGGGGAGAGTGTTCAAATTGCATGGACTAAACTTCTGATGTACCAAAGTTCTCTGAACCCCTTCTGAATGATGTTCTAATTAAAGGGTGGAGGGTAGCTTAGTGGTTTGTTCACATTTAAAACCCAGGTCAGTTCCCAACATGGTTGTTCCTCATGAAGCCTATTCCTCATGAAGCCTATTCCTCATGAAGCCTATTCCTCATGAAGCCTAGTCATGTCATATTTTAATACATCAACACTAGGCATAAACCCAAAATTCGGTAATTTCAGCAATTGCATGGTTATTCCTTAGAATAGATTTCTTTTAGTGGTGTCATTGTTGAACTAATCTGTCCATTTACAAGTTTTGTATGTAATTTGTAGCTCAGTTTATCAACCATTGCCACAGAAAGGCATCGTTCATGTTGAACATTATCACTGCTTATGAATTCAATATTGTATATTGTACTACTAATATTTCATCTTCATTTTAGTGAGCCAATGAAACTTTTTGTACATCAATATCTCAGACAATACCATTTCAAATTCCCAATCTTTTTTCCTTGTGGAATTGAAATATTCCAGATATCCTGCATGAAGGCATACATTGTATTGTTTTGTATGTTGTATGAATTAACAAATTCACAGACCTGAAGACATAGGCTAGAAATGGTCTTCCGAAACCCTTCCTTGTTCTAAGAGGGGGATTGATGGTCAGACCTGTTCACCATGTCACAGGATGTCATCGTATCCTATTTTATAGATCGATGCTCATGATATCAGTCATTGGATTGAATGGTCTACGCTATTATTTGCAGTAGTGTTTATATAGCTGGAGTATTGCTGAAACAGCATAAATGAAAAACAACCAAAAATATTCAAAAGAAATTTAGTTCCATTATTTACATACTGCCTTCATATAGCTGAAATATTGCTGAATGCAGCTTTATAAAATAGACAAATTTAAAAGAATGTGTTATCATCTGTATATTAATTTCCTCTCTCTCTCTTCCTCCTATGCGTTTGTGTCAGGATATATTCGATTATTAGGTACAAGTATGACACGATTCCACTTTTCACAATCGACATGCATGGTGTACAGTCTATAAACTTCAGTCTCTGTGTTTCTTTGCACTGTGGGAGTGTCACCTTTCTCATCTGATGCAGCCTGCATGATGCAATGGCAACTTTATCAGTGATTCAGAAAATTCAAATATCAGTTTCAGTTGTCAACTTTATCAATGTCTTGTCACAAAGTTTCATTCAGCATAACACATATATAGATCAAATTAGATAGAAAAGTAAATGTAGTCACTGGCTTAATGATATGTGTAGCATCAATTTTCTGTGCATGCTTTAGCTAATATCCAAGGCATGTTAAAATAATTTTTGCCAATATGAGGTGTTAACATGGAATGTTTTTTTCTGATATTACCACAGCTTATGTTATTGGTTGGTCTGTGTTATTATTCAAAGCTGCAATCTTATCTGACATCATGCACTGTGCACATGCTATGCATTTAGACGAAATAAGCTTGCATTTACAGTTCAAGGTAATATTTCTTTGAAAAGAAATATTGCACTTTTCTTCACAATTGTTTACTTTCCATTTGCTGTGCTGTTATTGATTATGAAATGTGTAAGGTGAGGTCTTATTTCTTCATTTGCTGAAACTCATGAAGATCCGGGTTAGATTTGATCTTCAGTAACCCATGGTTGTCGTAAGAGGCGACTAACGGGATCGGGTGGTCAGACTTGCTGACTAGGTTGACAAGTCATCGTATCCCAATTGCGTAGATCGATGCTCATGTTGATCACTGAATTGTCTGGTCTAGACTCACTTATTTACAGACCGCTGCCATATATGTAGCTGGAATATTGCTGAGTGCGGCGTAAAACTAAACTCACTCACTCATTTGCCTGAATATATTCTAGAGAGACACATCATCTATGCCATGAGAGATAAATGTGATACATACTTGTGGAACCAAATATATAAACATTACATTTTCCATTTGTTAACATGTGTCCATCTACAGTACAAGCCAATGTATAAATCAAGATGACATTTGGTTTAAGTTTATTTGATCAACTTGGTTTCATTCTGCTGTGGTATATTTTGTGTATAACAATATAATACACAGTTCTGCAAGTCTTGCCCATTACAGCTGCATGTAAATCAAGCATGTAAGTGATTAATGATAATGTTATTTTAAACAGGAGAAACAAACATCAATGTCAGTTTTGTATGTAATCATGTGTTTTAATTTCTTCTGTGTTATGCTTGGTGGAAAAGATAAATTTGTCACTCACACAATATTCATGAAAATATAACAGCCCTTTATGACATCTGGATGAATAAAAGGGTAAAAGATCTAAATATTAAATTCTTCCTCTTCATACTCTGAAAAATGAAAATCAAATATTTAGAAGATTGATGAAATGGTTCTTGGAGAAATTAGAAATGATCTTAATGGCTACCACCCAGAATTTGGATATGTATGCCTTTTTCAATATCAGTATGATGTAGACTCCTGCACTGGAGAAATATATGGAAAAAACTATTTAGTTGAGAGACAATGTATGAGAAGAGTATCAACATTACCATAACAGAAACTCACAATGGCTGGTGTTTTTTCTTGCAGGACAATTTCCTGGGTACACTACACCAAAGGCGCAACTGCCACAGACCTCTAGGGGGACAAACTTGTCAACGACAACTTTGTGTCTGTTGCTTCCCTTTGTTCTGACCACACTGTTGATGTGGACAACATCATCGCTGTCATGGCACAGATAGTAGACAGAAAGGTGTTTTTGTTCTCTCCTCCACCATGCAGTAAATGGTGCACACTGTACATAACATCATCCTCCGAGAGTTCCATGTCAGATGCCAATGTTCTTCACTGGACATGACAAGCAAGGTGTACACTGTACATAGGACTTATTCTTGAAGGCTATCGGTGTCTAGACGTCACTGTACAGAATGCCATATGAGCACAGTGTACAGAGTATCTACTTGGTCAAGTCATTTGTGTACAAAAATGTGCACACATTCATACGTCTGAATCTTCTTGTGTGGGATGAACCAGTTACTTGAGGAGTTTGTGTTCTGAACAGTAGAAACTGTCAGCTTCTGAAACAGCAAGACACATCATGACACTCCACACTGGTCATCTAAAGGTCAAGCAGGATGTGGAGGAAATCTGTTCTAAGGATCAAGGATTTGAATCAATGGACAATATTGATATGTACAAGCATAAGCCAACCAGGGAGAAGATATCCTTGTCATGGAACCGTTGAGTCATCAATACAAGCATGTATCTTGGTGATGATATTGCCATGAGAATGGAACAGTATACATCCTGATACTGATCAACTTGCATCTGATCTTTGGACATGTTCATCTTAGTTGACTAAACTGGAAGCCTCAGGTATCAGGCAACATCATTAATTTATTTACTGTAAACATACTCTGAAGGCTTGATGTTTAGCTTGTATGATGCATAACTGTGGACTTTGTTGGTACAAGTGAGCTTTTCAGTCGGATAGGACCAGCATCAAGCATTGGACTCAAATAAGGACGGGTTATTTATTGTTTTTAATTCCATTTGTCAGGTTTGGGGATAAAATCATTAGAAGAAATTCTAATTATCTGTAATTTAACACACCTGATAATCATTCATGTGCTTGTATTATGTACATTGAATGAAATACTTTCAGTTACCTGTGTTGATGATTTTTGCTTCTATGACTCTAATTCTTGTAGTATTTGCTTACAATGTTTATGTATGCATTTAAAACTTCCATCGAATAAACATTTAAGCTATTACTGCTAATTTCATCAACATTATTGTCAAATAAAGTCCAAATCATTTTCCTCTATTAAAATCTACAGTTTTCCTTGGATGTTAAATGTTGTTAAATATATATATCAACACCATGTGCCTATATTGTTTACCCAAATCTCCAATTACTCATTGACCTAGTCTCAGCTGGACAAGCTAATGCCCTAAACCTGACAATGGCAATAAATGGTTGCAATGACGCTGTCAGAATATGTGTAATAGGGACTCTCAGCCAACATGGTGATGGAATTTCAAGGGAGACAACTCTTTCAAGAAAGATAACTATGATAAAAGGGCAGACAACTCTGAATATCATCAATGTGAACTGTTGTAAAAGCCTTCTTACCATTGCAGATTCCTCTGAAGCTCAGACACATGTGAATTGTGATCATTTCTGTGTTTAGTGATGATTTTACAGACAAAGAGAATTCTCCCTAACATTTGAGTAGGGAGAACATTATATCTCCCTACCTCAGTACTCAATGGCGATTGGTCAATCTCCATCCAGGACATGTGACCTACACTGGTTACTTAGCAACAGTCAGTCGCTCGCATTGAACTTCGACTGATTTGATTGTTGATCGTAGAAGTCCCTTTTGGAATCTGTGTTTTATTGTATATGATGTATGCTATGTAATATATATAAATATATATAACAGATGTGCAATACACGTATGCCATGTTTTCTTGTGTCACTAACCAATCAGAAGGCAGCCTGTTATCAGTGCAACAATTGGTTTGAAATTAACCTTGGAGATACTTACTACTAAGCACAGATATAAGGCTGTTCTGTTCATCTCATAGAATTTGTGTTACTTCATTTTGATTTTTCTTGCACCAATCTTAGCATGGAGCTATTTCTGAAAATCATTTGGAGACAGAATATAGAAATGTAAATATCAGAAAATGATAAAATAATAAAGAAAACTTGGAAGTGTATACAGTTGTTAATTTAAATTTCAAATGATCAGATGGACTGATTTGTCAAATCTTGAATAGAGATGCTAATAAAGAAAGAAAATGACAGAAAACATTGAATTTTAATTTTTTGTAAAATTTTCAGATGCATGCATATAATTTTGCTTAATTTTCATCTCAAGTATGCTAAATCATGAACCGCAGATATTTGAATGTAGAATCTAGGTATTTGAATGTAGATGCAATAGAGAGATGGCAAAATCTTTTCATCTATTTTCATGCATGAAACAGGACAAATTAATGAACAAACAATAGCTGAAAACTTTGTTCCCCAGAAAAAAAACTATTGTCCATGAATAATTGCTTTCTGATGTAATCGTTCATTTTCAAATATAATAAATATGGGACCTTTTAATAGTAGCTGTTGCCAAACTGATGAATTTTTCGCAGTAAAGACAATTGTCAGATAGATGAAAAGGTTGGTCTCACAGATACCCAGGTTTCCAAACCAACAGTGAAGAGGATGAAGGCTTTCAGACAGCAAGGAAGAGCTACGGTTCTAATACATTATGTTGTGATGGAAGGTGGTAACAAGGTGTGTGTTGTGAGATACATGTATAATGTTAGTGATTCGTGGTCTCACTGTGTGAGGATTGTACAGATCATGGACAGGGCACTAGTCATCCCATACACATCCTGAAAACACATTCCAGTGCGTCTTGCAGAAAACACTTCTTGACCTTTAAAATTCAATTTGGATGTTTGCATCCATGGATGTTTTTGAATAGGCAATGTTGATAAACATTTTTATATATCTGAGCTACAAGCCTTACCTACAAGTTGAACCAAGGAATATTTGGTCATTTTGTATTTTGACACAGGCTAGTACAATGGCAAAACACCTTGTACTATCACTATTTGACCAAAATTCCTAAACAATGCTTTAGAGAACTGTACAATGGACTCTTCTTTAGCAGATTTCTTATGGTTATGGAAAGGATCACTTATATTATAATTCTTGGAAACAATCATGCATCACATGAAAGTCAAAATATTAGATTGTGATGGATCTTGAAGTATAAATAGAATATGAAAAATTAATTATTCCTAATGATTCTGATTGATTTGTAGGGCCTGAATGCCACAACCTGCAACTTGGCCACCAGACTTGTTGGTGCTCTAGGCAAGTGCCCTGTTCATGAGTGAGGTGTGTGTTGATGGCCGAGTCTGAGTTGTACGTGTAGCTACCGGGTTATGTTGGTGATGGGATTGGATGTTTCCTTCTGAAGGACTACAGGTTGTGATGAAACACTGCAAGATACATTTCTTTCTGATGTAGGTATCTGCCTCGCCATAGACATGGATCACCACTGTCTCACAACATCTGCTGCACATATTGTGCATTACTTGAAGATTACTATATTAATTATCATATTCAGTGGAGGTTGACATTGGGAATTATCAGATCTACGTTCGGTTTTATCCAACGAATGACCTAAGAATATATCATGTGACATGCACCTACTGACGTGGACACAAGCTTTATTCATGTAGCGGGGTATAAAGAATTGATTGGTCCTCTGAAAACTTCATCCACAAGGTGGGCGATGTATATGAAACTTTATTCAGGGTCACATGGAGATTGAGGTTCGTACATGAGGTAGGATAATCTGTGTTACAGCCTCTGCACTGGGACACAATTAATAAGAAAGTCCTTTTGTTCCATAAGGGACCTGTAATTTTCTCATGTGGGCAAATACAATGATGTTTCATCAATGACCTCTTGCCATTTTTTTCTTATTAACAAACATCTTATTATTTCAGTCCTAAACTGAAAATATTTTCTTGTTCGATTAATTTAATTTTTTTATGAACCTTTCTAAAAATGGAATGACTTTTTAGACATTCCTCTGATTCAGTCGCTCATTTCGAACAATAACTGGTCCCTATTAAATAAAAGGCATTGATACTAGATTTGCAATTGCAGGCCAGACAGAACCAGTTCTTCTAATTTTGAAGGTATCTCAGTTACTGGTTGAATTTTAAACATTTTGGGATGTTCTTGTATGTTATCACTGGTCATATGCTCAAGAACAATGTGGGTGAAATATATTATTAACTGACCTTCTAGGTTACTTTTTTTCACTGAATGTCAATTTCTAGGGAGGTGGGGGTATTTCTTGAGGGGTGGGGGTATGGCCTCATGGTTAAAGCCTTCACTCACCAAAACCATGGTCTACCCAAGGACAATGGGCAAGGTAATCTAGTTTTAGCCCAAGGCAGTAAAAAATAATTTTAAATACAGGAAACTATAAAGTAACAGGTCAATGACAATCTGAAAGGACCCACCTGCAAGTGCGTGAGTGAGTGAGTATGGTTTTTATGCCGCTTTTAGCAATATTTCAGCAAAATCATGGGTTTCAAACATTGTAACCATGTGGGGAATCGAACTCGGGTCTTCGGAAGGTGAGCGAACGCTTTAACCACTAGGCTACTCCTCCGCCCCAGACCCACCTGTAGATAAGAAAAGTGACAGGTCTTTCAGAATAGATGGCAATGGTAGTGGAAAGGTCTTGTTTGCTTATGAGGCTTAACCCACAAAATTGTTCCTCAAAACCATATGCTTGTGGTTCTCTACAATATTGTCATGAGCAGATCAATCCTTTTTGGTTTTAGGTGTTTGGTTTACTGAAATAGATTGTCCAAATTTCAAAGAACTTGGTCAAAAGGTTTTAACAGGGAAAGATACTAAATTAACAGAAAGATAACTGATTCTGTGGGGTTTTTAGAGCAAAGATTTTATGCATATTATTTACCATTTTCTTAATGAATTATGAATTGTCGTGATAAAATCACATGAATTTTTAAAGAGAATCCGCTGTAATGAAAACTGTCAAAAGTCATTCTGTATATTTTCTAATCTATTTATGTTTTGAGGTCAGTCTTTTTTGAAATATGTAACAATGCCCTCAGTTCACAGGAAAATAGCATTAATGATTATTTAAACAACTAAAACAAATATATCGGTAAATACATGCAGAGACAATCACAACTTTCCATGGTCAGTGAGGCAGATGAATACGATCAGAACAAGACTATTTCCTGTTTACATAATCAGTGTGATGCTTGTAGTGGAACATGAAATAGCTATATTGAGTTAAAATTGTTTTCAAATAAGGACATTAGAGATATAGACCAATATGTTGTGTTGTTGCTTTTGTGTAGCAATCATACCACTCCTCCATCTTTGAAGAGCAGAATCCAGAACAATGGAGGCTATAGTGGAAAATGTTACGTTTAATTTCAGTAGAATTCCCTTCATCATGTGTGTGACTGTCACCAGTTGTTAGGGAAATCCTATTTCAGAATGACACTGAAACAGCAGTGTTTAATCTCCAACCGAGTCATGGATCATTTGAATTTCTCGTCAGTCACCTAGTCTATTTGATTTATTTATTATATATTTAACATTCATAAAAATCAAATAACTAAAAAAACTGGAGGCACTGATTAACTGGAAGCCATTTGTGGTATAGCCATTCAAGTCTGGAGGAAGTATATAGATTTGTCAACATTTTTGTCACAGCTGAGCTGTGTCCATACATTGCCTTCTGGGGGTTGTAATGTTTTGTACAATGCATTTAGGAAATCAGCAATAGTTAATAAAAAGATCTAGAATCTCCCTTTGACAACTTGCAGACACTACAGATATGTGGTTTCATGCTTTGTCAGTTGGATTTTAAAAGAATCATGTTCCTTTCAAATGCTGAAATTAGTGATGACTTTTAGTGTATAACTGACATCAAGAAGCATTTCCCATTAAATGATATGACATTACAACTATTGTTTACCAAAGAGATTTTGACAGTACTGCACTGAACAAATAGTGTCTTTAATTTATAACAAGGTTGAATGTTTTGTGTTTTTTTGAAGGAAGTAATGTTTGAAATGAATATATAA